ATAATTCAGGTCATTTGAGGTTCTTCCTTCAATTGTGCCTTCGTGATTCTTTTCATATGGTGGGAGAAATGCTCCGGCGGCAAAATTTTCAATATTGGAATCATGGATCTACATCAAATTATCTTCTTTTTTATGCCTGAACTGTAGATTTCATTTTTATATCATAAAAGCCATTGCTTTCTGACCTCCATCTTAATCTCTAATGAAATCAGCGATTTCCAATTCGTGATTGGAAATAGCACCTCAGAGAACCAGGATATTCCTCTATTACAGAGCCCTATTCTTTCATATTCCTGCTTCTCTTTTGGTCTAGCTGTTGGCATTGAGCTCTGATCTTCAAACTCGTAGCTTATGCTCTTGAACTTGAACTAATACGAATCGTTACATTTCTAATTGTGCTTTAATTATTTCTGTATATTAAAATTGTGCCAGTAAAATGTTAGTTTTCGACACCGACAATTTTCCGTCATTTCCAAGGATTAATACGCTGTAACCGTACTGTCGTTTATCTCCTAATCGCCTAGGAGACTGGATAAGACGACTACGACTACTAACGGTATTTTAGCAGCTGCCATGCACCGGTACGAACAGAAATACATGTATATAGACGGAGACCGTGTATAAGGAGGCCTTCCAGAAAGGAAGGCTAAGCAACTGTTTCTTGCGAATCCGACTGGCAGAAGACCCAGGGGACGGCCAAGATTAACCTGGTGCAAACATATGGAAGGAGTCTGTTCCAGAGTGCATTTGTCTTTTGCCGAAACTCAGACTCTGGCACAGGATTGGGAACGTTGCAAGCTCTCTCTGATGCGTCTGCCTCTGCGATCCGAATTGGGAACCGGTGATTGAAGATGAAGTTGATGATGAGGTAGACGGAGAGCGGCACTTCGGTACGGTTCAAATAGATTCCTCGAATTCTTTGTGCAGGTGGAAAGTTGTTCATCTCCAAAATCTTCAAACGATTTACCGCGCACGTGAATTTTATTGAACAAAATGTGGTCATATCAAAATGTGCATCAAAAGCAATGTCATGCCAGGTCTCAAAGCAGATTTTTGCTGGGCCAAGCACGGAGGTGTGGCTTTGCTTCCATGTGCTATGGGTGCAAAAACACAATTGGTCTGTGATCTGTTTAAAGGCTCATAAGGTAGGAGCAAGGATATGGTATAACTAGGCCACGAAAGTGCCCTGAAGTTACGGAATGTGATTTAGTCCGGACTTTACTGATTCCTCCATGACATGAAACCTGAAGGAGAAAACAAAACAGTCACCTAATTTCATCTTCATCGAATTTGCGCATTTTTGATTGACGAGTGGGCCTTCAGCCCTCATGACCCATCGTTCGAAGCTGTGGGCAGTCGGGAGGTTTCTCACATCTGCCGTTTTGCTTTACTTTCACGGGTTGACACGTCTTTAGATTCTTAGAAGTCCAGATTGATCGGGTGCGTTTTGAGAGACAACGACTGAAAGAGTCATTCGTTTCCGTCATTC